ATATTTATCTTGCACATCTAAGAAATACATATTGATATATTTCGAAATATTTTAAATGTTAATTTAAAATTAAATTACTAAAAATATATATATATTTTTTATGTCTTAATCAGGGTCGTTGGGCGGCGCCCTAGCGTGCTCTATTGGCCAGCCGCCACTGAAGATGACCCTGTTATAATGATTAAAAACAAAATAATTGACTGTTTTCCTTTATATGTTTAGAATTTACAGAAAATCTGCTACAAAAAGAAAATAAATTAGTGTTTGGAGAAACATGGAGCTTTAAAATGAGAATATGGTGGAAACTGTCAGAGCAGGAAAGATTACAATTAAGGAGAAAGGAGGCAGTTTGGTGCCAATTAAAGGTGCTCCTACATCACTGTAAAGATAATAAATATTAGATTATATTTACCAAAGTTGAGCAAAAATGCTTAACTTCCTGAAGAGTGAAATTTGCTCAACACATGACTTTCTCCTTGGAGCCAAAGGAATGTTTGAAGGACATGGAGGAGGAAGTAAAGGAAAGCAAAGAGTTGAATCAGGTGGAGAGAAGTGTCCGTTTATTTTGAGCTGTATCTCTGCTCCGTGGGTCACCCAGGTTCATAAAGCAGCGCTCTAACAGGATACATGAAGCAGACAGCTGTGTGCTATCAAGCTCCTCCAGACTCAACAGCGATCATAACTCTTTTGGCTGAAATGAGCTCAGCTCAAAGTCCCTTTAGAGATGTTTTTGTTACGACCTTAAGTTTGCTCTCGTCCGAGGCAGGAAGCTTTAAACTTTAACCAATTTTACTGGGAGTTTATCTGAGGAAAGCACAACTGTTAACATAAGGTGCATTTGTCTTCACCCCCTTTTACCCTGATTCCCTTCACTAAAATCCAGTACAGAAGAGACCTTATTAAGGTCATAGGGAAGGGAATGTAAAATCATTCTGGCTTAAACATGTATATAAATCTACTCTTTATCAGACAATATTGTCCCAAAATTTAGAAAATCTAATTTAAAAGAAAATTCTGTCTTAAAATCTGTGGGTTTTTTGTTGTTATCTTATGCAGGCCAATTAGCTAAACGTCAGCCTGAACACCTAAATTCATCCAATCATATATCAACGGTCATCTGTCAATCACATTTTTTTCGGTCATAGCATCTTGATTCATATGATGCAGCTAAAATACGCAACTGTTAAAATAAGAAATAATAATCATTTACTTTACGTCCCAGTGTTCACGGGGATGGGCGTCTGTGTCTTCAGCAGGCATAGAGCTAACAGAACTGGCAGCGTTGCGAGGCAAGGGCTCAAACATGTACGGCTGTAAGCCTTCTACATCAAACCAAGCTTCTGCCGCCCTGGCGTCCTCTTCCACAACAACTTTGTCCCCACTTTCCTCCTCTAAATAAAAGATGTATGACGGAGGAGACTCATTCACGACCTCTGATACAAAACTCTCCTCCTCTTGCATGTTTCCTCTGTCCATAGCGTTCCTTGACAGCGTTGTTTCTAAGTCACCAATTTAGTGCTACTTGGTCCCAATGGAATTTCCCTTTGGGACCCTACTAGCACTAAGTTGCTAACTGATTAGCAAGATGCTTCAGACAAACCGGCCACAACCAAAATGCTTGCGAACCTTGCGAACCTTCCTCCACAACAATCCCACCCCCTTGATAGACGACCAATCACATTCACTGTGTTCACTTCTGTAAAGTCGTGCACCACTCAGGAGAATTCAGAAATGCTACGGTTGGATCAGCCGTTTCCCTACAACTTTAAACTTTAACCGATTTTACTGGGAATTTATCAGAGAAAAGCTCAACTGATTCCCTTAAATAAATTCCAGTACACAGGGGACCTTATTAAAGGTCTATATTCAGATGTTCTTTGAAGCTTGTTGGAGGAAGACTAAGGAATAAAGTTGGATCATTTAAAACAAAGCTTTTATCATATATATTCAGCTACTGTGTTCTGGTCGGTCAACTAAAACCCAAATGAAACCCATTTAAGTAGTTTTTTGAGGGTATCATCAATAGTCCAACTCCTAAAACACATTTAGTGAGCAGAACCAGTAGCATCCATGTTAGGAGTCCCACTCAGAACCAGGACGTTTAATGATCTTTATCTGTGTCCTGACGCGTCTTCCATCCCGTAGAGGCCATGTTCTGGACTCCAGTGTCGTTTTCTTTAAGTGTTCTCATGGCTTCATCCATGCCTGCTCCACCTTCAAGAGTCAGCCATGTTTACCATGGATCCGTCATCGCCGCCATTGACTCTGGGTTCAGACGTCTCACATGTTTGCTTGTTTGTTTCTGTTGACACATTGCCACTGCATGAGGTAATGATACCCTTGTTTTTTGTTTTTGTTTTTTGGTTTTCTTCTCCATTTTATCCTCACCTGCCCCCCCTTCCCCCTCCTTTTCTATTATTTTTCCGTTTCTTTTTGTTTTTTGACGACAGCAAGTTGGAATAGATCAGGGTGACATCCCAGATCTCTCACAGGTCAGTGTACATGCCACCTTCCACCTCTCTATTCACCTCCAGCTCCTCTTGTTTTTCCGTCTGTCCTCCCCTTTGTTTTCAGATTCCAGCTGTGTATGACGCTTTGTCTTGTCCTTAACGCCTTCACCCATTAACTCACCATATTTATTCTGGGTTTTTAACTGTTTTCCCCTCTGAAACAAACCTTTTGTTGACCTTCTCTCCCATATTTAGCTGTATTTTAACCTGCCATCATGTCTAACCTGATCTGTTTGAAGGTATCTCTCTTGGCTCTTCCCAAGTCTCCTTCCCTGCTTTCTCTTTCCTCCTAATTTCTCATTATAGATCCAGGTTGGGGTGCCTCAGTTTGGCCCCTAAGCCACAAGCTAAATTGATGAAAAGACTCGTATTTGTTTAAAGAGAGAGAAAAAAAAAGAAAACAATGAGACCGTGCCTTGAAATTAGGAGAACAAACATAATGAAGAGAAGAAAGGGTTTAGAAAAATAGAGCATCTCTGCCTGGATAAGGAATGGGATTTTTTTCTTTTAATCATCAAATGTTTTAATTTGCTTTTCATCGAGCTGTGAGGCTGTTGACTAAAATTCCCTGAAGCAAAGTTGTTTTCTTTAATGCTCTTTGTTGTATTTGTTTACCTCGCTTTGACTTTATTTTCTCGGTCAGATTGTCCCCGATTTTGATCCACGTTTGATAGCAAAAAAAAACTAGTTTAGTTCTGTTTTTTTTTAATATATCTTCTTTAAAAAAAAAAAAAATCCAGAAACGTCACTAAAAGAGCTGCAGCTAATGATTGACTTGTTTTCATCGTTGCTCATCAGTTGATCTAAATAACTGATGTGAAACTTTGCTCCGAGGGCCTCATTAGTTAAATTTTCTCTTAGCCAACAGTTTAAATATCAGACGTGTGATTCGACATCATTTGAAAACAAAGTCTTTCATCTTTTAAAGGTAATGAAATGACAGAATGATTTGCTTTTATATGCACATCACAGTAATGGCTAAGCAATTTATCATTATTAGTTTGATTTAATATTTAAAGAAGAAAGAGCAGTGAAAAGTGATCACTTAACTTTATTTTTTAGCCCTGTGTTTTAAAAAAAAAAGACAATCTAGATTTAAAATAAAAAAACACAATTGCATTGTTTTATTTCAAGTGAATATCATCAACTTATCTTATTTTAAGAGTAAAAATACTCATTCCATTGGCACAACTATATAATTTACCTACTGAATTAAAGGGTAAATACACTTAATTTAACACATTTAAGACTTATTTCTAGATAATTTTTACAGTATGAACATGCTGTGTGTCTTTGCCATGGAGATTAATACTCCCCATCTGAAGGTGGTGGCAAACACTAAACGAATAAAGAAAACAAAGTTTTCCCAGTGGGTGGACAGGTTCTATTACCGGTAATATATAAATAAAAAACCTAAATAACTTATAAGCTAATATCTGACACTTACTCATAACTAGCATGTCTAAAATTGCTAAAACATTAACTCATGGGTGTAGAACCTCAGAGAATGTACATTCTTGACCGATAAATTATTTGCATTTGTAAATCCAACTTGAAAGGACAAAAATGAAACTGTTTGGCCTTCCTGTTATCTTCTGAAATTCTCCTTCTCTAGCTTCTCTCCCTCAGTCTGATGAACTACCAACTTATATGGTACCTGAATACTTTTACCTTTTTAAAGATGTATTCTCCCCCAAACGATTTAAACCTTTTCTGGTTTGAAAAGGCCAACTTCTCCGTTAGCTTTAAACGATTATAGTCGGACTGTTCGGGTGTCTCATGTAGATGTTATCAGAGGGAAAAAAACAATTAAAATCTCCTCTAAACTAAAAATGCTTGGTAAAACTGAACATTTTCAGTTTGCAATAAACACACTTTCTTCTGTTTCTGCTCTGTGTGCCTGTTGCTGCTCCTTTACTCATCAATTTTTAATACTAAGAGCCTCTATTCGACACTGGCTGACTGTCGGAGCTCAATTTATTGATATACAAAGGTTATTAACATTGTAATGTTATATTTATACAAACTTACATACAAGCTGGACTAAAAACATTATGTCCGTAGCTTTTCTGACTGCCTTGTGTCTTTATTATCATTTTAACTGATAGTTTTTTAACAAGCAGCCTCTTTGGTGGCTTGTTTTCCTCTTCAACATCCTAAAATCTTTTGTACATTTTGGATCTGTGAGAAACGTGTCCCTGATCACAGGGTTCCCGTAAAATCGATGATGTTTGCAGTAGAGTCTGGACTGAGTTGAATAATGCTGTATTTGCAGTCAATAATGAGTGTTTTTCTTCCCCTCCTACTCTGTTGCAGAAGACTAAAGGATCATACATTGTAGGTGGTGGGTTACTAACTGTACCGCTTCACCACTCAAACCTCCATAAAGGAAAATTCCTCCTTTGACCTAGGCTCTATTTTTCTAGACTTTTCTGTTTGGTTGTTTTTTTTTTGAGCAGGGACATTTTGGGGGAAATTTCTCAGTGTTGCATAAGAATCCTGGAGTCGTTTAGTCTGATGTTGCTTTAGCGTCATTCTGCAGGGTAATGGTCAAAGTCTTTGCTTTTTGCCTCTTATTGATGTAAGGTTTTTACATAACTCAAAGTAAACATTAAAAGGCAGCTTTTTAAAGCGTTGCTGTCATTTTTTTTTTTACAGATTAAAATCTTTAAATGCTCATCAGTTCAGGTTGTGTTGCATCAGCCATGCTGACAAAACCAAATCAAAGGTTTTTATCTTGTTTTTTGTTCTTTTTTGATAAATTTCACTTTCATAAAAGTTAAATGAAAATGATTTAAAGATGATAGAAGCTGAGAGGTCAGTGTTCCCAGATTGTACTTTGTGTTATTTTGGATAACTGTGTTAGAGCTGTGAACATAGTGGGGTTTGTTGTTCAGTTGTGACTGATGAATAAACAGAGCTCTTCTTTGATTACAACCCTTGTATTAATAATAATACATCTTTATAAACTGTAGGAACCCTGGACAGAGTTCTTAGCTGTTGATCTTAGCTTCATGTGGTTTCAAACATATACTTTGAAGGTTTTCAGGTGGCTGTTGTTCAATAGGACTCACAGAGTTCTTACAATCTAAGAGTTTTGGAGATCTTTCTCCAGGTTCCTTTTGTCTTATTTAGATCCACCGCTTGGGATTAAACCCAAAGCCGTCTGTGGATCTGTCTATAGCTGTAAGCATTTTTGTGACTGGAAGAAAGTGAGTTTCTTGTGTAAAGTGCTTGAAATGCTCTTTATGGCTAGAAAAAAACGACATAGATTCGGTCCATTTAACACTCTAAAGGGCCTTGATTCTATTAAGAGACAGAAAGAAGTGGAATAATGGTGCCCAGGTTTAAAAATAGGGGAATTTTCCTTTACGACTCTGCATGTAGATCATACCTACTGTTTCAGACTGTGCAACTTTAACACCTTGAGCATTTACAGGCATGACCATCTATTTTTCTTTCCACTGTAAAATGGCCCGATGTCGAGTCAGTTAATTCACGCGTGTCTGCTTCAGGTGGATTGCTCATAGCCGCCACACATACACAGAAATATGAACACAGGCAGGTTTGACACAAACGACAAAAGGCCATGGAAGCTCATGAATAGAAAATGAGGCTTCGCTCCTGCACCCCTCCATCTTCATCTGCATGAGGAAGTCTCTGCAGAGGTTTTTTTTTTTTTTTGTCACTCATCTGAATTCCATCCTCCTCCTTACATGGTGTTCATATCGTGTTTGTCATGCACAACAGCGTTGCTCCTGTGTGCTTGACAGAATAGTGAATAGCCTGGTTATTACAGTGCAGTTATTGTCATTTTTATGCTGACTTTTATCCACATCTTTTAAAAGTTGAACGTAAAGTATTTGCTCGACACGGACCAGTGTTTCCTATGGTGGTTTTAAAGAGCTCTGGTTTCAAAAACTCTTATTCGCCGTCATGTACTGATAAAAAAAACAACTATAAGATAGTATGTACTGAAAGGTTTTAGATTAATATTTTATAATGCTTAAATTGATAAATCTATAGACTATTAAATTAATATCATGCAATATATTATTGAGGTATGCCTAAAGGAAATATATGCTGCTATTTTGCATGTACAATAAATCTGAAATTATCTTAAAATTTATGTTTAATTATTTTAAGGAGAACAAAGAGCTCATTTTGATGCCTTTATATACACTGAAAAATCTGATCTTTCTCAAAACAACTGCTTAAGTTCAAGTAAATATGTTTTTCTGACGATGGAAATTGTATTTATTTGCCCCAAAATAGAATATTATTATCAACTTAACATAGGAATGGTTACTTTCTTTCTTGATCTAAACATAAATCATCGTATTCCACTGGCTAAATGTCAGACATGCTCAAATAAAGGGGAAATACAGTTATTTATGTTCCTACTTTTCTTGCAATGTGAATTTGACTTTTATGGTTTTATGTGGATGGGACATCAGCAACATTAGCAGTTTGCTGTGGTCGGTTGACCAGCTCCCCTTTACACAGTAGGAAAAAAGTTACACAAGCAATAACTAGGTTAATCACTGTTGAAATTGCCCCTTTTTGGTAGAATAGGGACATAAATGGACAAAGCAAGTTGGCTAATGGTAGCAATCTTCCTTGAAGAATACAAGGCAAGGAGGAGGACCAGAATCTTGCTGCGTGAAGAACACTTCCTTTTGGACTTATCTAGTTCGCACTTCATACGCCATATATTCTGGCATAACACAGGTTTTACCATGGAAAAGTCTCATTTCTGTTTCATTACCCTTTTATTAAAGAATCGTCAGTCAGAAAATATAGGTTACGCCTTCCACATGTTGCAGTCAAGTCTGAAAACACACTAGAACTCATAGCCTCACAGTGTTACTTTGTGTGTAAAATTTAAAATGACAAAAAAAAACATCATGTTAAATAATATCTCTTTATTTTTCTGTAACGGCTGAAATAACTGGTGCTTTAAACCAGAAGATTAGGATGTATTTTGCATGAATTTTGTTTTTTACTTAAGATAAAAACTTTTGCGTAGAACACACTGGTCTGTGTCTAGTATTCATACACTAGATCTTTAGAAGATGGTTTAATTTTCTATCTGGTAGAGCTAATATTGACCAGGTGCACAAAGGGTTTAGAAGTGTTTGTTAATGTACATTTAAGTACATTTACAGTCAAAGTTGACCTCTTTTTAAGTTGCATGTCGCTGTCTCTTTAACTGCCAGCCGACGTTTTGGGAGGGTCCCATCATCTAGCCAGCAGTTTCTGCATCTGTGTGCAGGTCTGCTGCTCTGCCAGCAGCATTCTTGTGGAGACGGGCAGACATGACGTTGTCATATTTGCACAGTGGGAGAATTTCCCATGTGTGTTTTTTCAGCTAAATGAGTTCCTAGCTGCTGCTGGGCTTTTTTTCCCCCCTTTTTTTGAATGTTTCTTTTCTTTTACACTTTGAATTAATTTCTCCCTTTGCTTTTCTTCCTCTTTTCTGTGGTCTTTTAACCACTAATGAAGCACCTAACAACCACAGGATAGTTTGCCCAGCAGCTGGAGCTCCACCTGCTCCATCTGAAGCTGAACTGTTATCTTTAGCTGCATAGCAACAGTCCTTAGTAACCTGTTCACTAACTAATTTAGATGGAGTTATGTTTAGCCTCCCATTGATGGGAGTCATTTAGATGCACTCTCCATGGTGTTTTTTTTTTTTTTTCTGGACAGGCAATAAGATGGAGTGTAGGATAATAGTTTCAAAGTGCAACAGGTAAAGGGTGGGAACATAATGAATCTAAAATCTGACGAATCAAATGAATCCTGGCATTCAGAGCAGTGCTAAATAAAAAAGGTAGAGGGAAGAAAGGGTTTGCTGGAGATATCGTCGCCTTCTGCTCATTTGAAGCAAGGAGGGAAAAAAAAGCCCCGTCTCTCCTTTATTCCCCCACCTTTTCCCTCACTCTTTGTTTTTCTACCTCCTCCTTTGTTCTTCTGCTAACAATGTGAGTGTTTGCTGCATGTTGCCATGGCTATTCTTGGAGCCTGATGCACTCCGTTACCTTCCTGAGAGACCGACTAACTCTGGGTGCTGTGTTCGTGTGTGTGGGATTTTTATTTCATTTTGTTTTTCTTTCATTTTTTGCATTTGAGAGAGAGGAATGTTCCCCAGAAGCCTTTTCAGATTGGTGAACATCTCTGTTTGTCTTTTGCTGGTGCTCTCACGAACCTCAGGCCCCCAGCAGCCTCCTGGAGGCTTTGGAGCAGCACCTGGCCTCCCTGGAGGGCAAGAAGACGAAGGAGTTTAATGCAGACACAAGGTGCACTTACACTCACTCACTCACAGTTGATCTTAAAGAACCCCCCAGCTCTCCATTCAGCTCTAACACATTGTTGATTTCTCTTCTTCTCTTCTCCAGAGCGTCCACCCTGTCGAGTGCCGTCTCATCTCTGTCCTCCACTGGCATGTCCTTCAGCCGCATGGACGAGAAGGAGAAGCAGCAGGCCCTGGAGGAGGAGCAGGCCAGGCTGCAGGCTCTCAAGGTAAACGGCCTTTATTTAGCCCCCCCACCCACCTTTAAAGGAGGCGGTTAGGCTCTGAGCTGGAGCAGCCAAGAGGCTCTCAGCAGGAGGGCCGGTATGTTCCCATCCGTCCTTCCTCAAGTGACTTAGAGTGGCTCTTTTGGAGGCAGTTCATCAAGCTCTGTGCAGCTGCTTCTTAGGATGCAAAGGGCTTCACGCTGTTTCTATTTGAGATGCTTTCATTAGGAGAACATTTACCCTTTATAAGTGGGTTTAAAATTAGCTTTACTTCTAAAATCTTTTTGCATGTTAAAGAAATATACTGATAAAACAAATTTTTTTATGTTTTATTCAGTTAAATTTCTGCAGCATCTCCCACTTGTAACTAGATGCTTCATGATACTGCAGATTTCTTACACTGACTGGCCACTTTATTAGGTACAGACCCAGAAAAGTGTCTGAAACCTTCCTCAGATGTGTTTAGTCCGTTTTAGGGCATTTACAATATAATTGCAATTTAATAAAATGTCAGAGGCTTTTAGTTTTAATCACATTTAACACGAATGAGACACTAATTTCCTGACTCCAGCCCTTTAGATGGCGGCAGCACGCTTTAAGAAGGGAGGCGAGTTGCAGCTAACCTGCAGATCCAGGCAGACTAATAGAAATTATAATATTATAAAACAAAGGTTACAGTCCTGCTACAATGGACTCTAAACAAATGAAACCATGGAGTAAAACATCTCCTTACCTGTTGGTAACACAAAGTAAAATAGAAATAAAACCACAATATTGGTTGAAAATGATCCCTGTTTGACAAAATCATTCAGCCTTTAGTCTGAGAGGACTTTAAAGCCACAAAATCGATTCAACCGATCCAGGAGTCTTTGTCGATTCTGTCTCGCACTAAAGCAAACCTATAGCAGATCTTCTTAATCAGGATGCTAAAAACATTCCCCAATCATTTGTGGAAATCATCACCCTAGTTAGTGAGAAATTGCACCGAAAAGGAGACTGTTAGATATGCTGTATTGTTTTATTTAGCCACTGACCTTAGCGCTCAGACTAGTGTGCAGCATCTCACTCCTTCTCTCTGTACTCCTGCTCCACTGCTTGTCTGCCTGCTCTCAGCTTCGTTTCTGCTTCTTCATGCAGCTAAAGCAAATGCTGTGTTCACATGGATGAAAACAACCTTTACTACGATAAAGGCTGTGAATAAACAGTAACAGGGCTTTTGCTATTCATTATAAAAAATAAAAATCAGCAGAAAAAAGAAAAAGCAGAAATTTTGAGACCTATCCTTAAGGTAAAGAAGCTGTTTCTCATGTGGGTTTTTCTCAGACATCTGCAGTAAAATCATAAATAATATTTATTCTGGATACAATATGGTCATTTCTACAGCAACACCATAGAAAGGGTTGCATCACCGCTCAGGAGCTGAAAGAAACAAAATCCCAGAAATTTGACAAAATAATTTTTTTAATGTCACTTAATATCTTTAAGAAAGCAAAAATATTACTTAAAATGTCCAGTTTTAGTGTGTTTATATCATTCAGTTGTATGTGTTACTTTATTTTGTTCGCAATTTTCTTCACTGTAGCAGCAGTATTCAGATTTCCTGGCTGTGATTAGTTGGTTTTATCCATCTGAATGCAACGCTTCAAGATGAGTGCCGTGATCGGCTGATAGGGGTGATCAACTCTTGAGCGCAGAGATGTTGATGTTGAACGAGCAGAAAGAAAGCTTAGCAAACAAAGCTGATGGAGCGGTTTGCCAGAGTTGAGAGTGAGATTTCATCACTGCATCCTGCTCTCATTGAGTGCCCAGGTTGGTGGCATGGTGTGCAGCAGGTGCCAGATTAACATCCTGCTCTAAGCAGCCATCAGTAGCGTAAACTGCGTTCCTCCATAACCCTGTCCCTTCACCACCTGAACTGCTGATCCATGGCAGGATGGATCCACCATCCTGAAGGTTGGAGCAGGTAAAGCTTTATTCTTGTGATCCGGTGTGTAAGCTCGCTTCAGGCACCAGATTAGCCCTTAAACACGTCCTGTCTTTTATACCCCTTCTGTAACCAGAGGTCATGTGACATCTGCCAGGTATTTTAATCCACACAGCTGCTGCTGCTACAGATTAGCTCTTTTTCTGAGCGTTCTCTTCTGGAAAAAAATCTCAACAAATCAACAGTTTACAGGTTTTCCGCGAGTCATTAAATAATTATTTTTTAAATTACGGCCTCAATTGGCATTAAAATTCGTCAAATGTTAATATTTTGGCATTTAAAATGCATTATTTTAAAAAATTATTTATAAAAACAATTTATTAAGGGATATATATATATATTTGCAAATATATCGCAATATATTTGCATATTTCCATGGAACTGCTTCTGGTTAATCGTAAAGCTGTATATTTGGAAAAGAAGATCGAGGCGGACAAAAAGCTAGAGAATAAGAAAATACAAATTTCAACAAAAAGTGGCTGAAAAACGAGGAATTGCAGCCTGCCGACGCTAAAGACGAAGAAGGAATTTGCCGTCTATATATGAGAGTCATGGGTACCTGTTGATGGCATTAAAATTGATTTCTAAGTGAATCAAAAAGCATTAAATTAGAGTTGCCAGGGGTTGATGTTAAAGATTTTTACCACCTGCCCTTTGGGCAAGTGACTTTCACATTTCATTTGCCCAGAAACAATTTTCACTTGCCCAGTATAATGTGTGGTAAATATAGTTCCTAATAAGCATTTTTGTATTTATATCAATGAAACATGTTTGTTTTTTTAAATGTTTTTTGTAACTCAGTATTTTTTAAGTTGACAGGTTCCTGGTGTGTATATGCATGCGTCAGATAATGAACTCAAGCCTACATTACCATGTTAACATGCTTTTCAATCCTTCCTGCACATTCTTTTCAAACTAAACTTTGCTTTAAAGTGTTGTATGCTTGGAAAAATATAAATTGTAATGTTAAAAATCTTAAGTTAAAAACTTAAGATAAATCACGAGACAGAAGTCAATGTCACAAATGAATAACTTTTATTTTAGAGTCACAGTATGTTTATACAAGATAATACTATTAATATAATGTGACTTTTCTAGAGAATCATTATACAGTTATTTTATTCAGGGTTTCCACAGTCTTACATAATTTCAGAATTCCCTGACTTTTAACTGCCTCAGGATTAGTTTTCCCTGACAAAATAAATGCATTCGTTTGTTGTTTGTCGGTAACTACATCAAAATTACTAGCCTGACGTAGTCCGACTCAATTCTAGTCAGAATATGAGTCTGATACTGCTCCATAGAGCTGTGATTATGGGGCGTGTTTCGAACGGACCAGGAAAAAAAATGCCTCTGCACTCAATTGGATAGACCTACAACCAATAAGAGCAACGGAGTGCGTGACGTATGTTAAGCGACGCATAGTTGTTGTCAACAAAAATCAAAGCGTGCAGTTGCACGCCTATAATAAGAAGATGAGACTTGATCGCGTTTCTCTGTTCCTCTTTTAAAATTAATTTGCTGTCGATATCTTCTAGAACAGACCTAATAGCAGAATCTACTCACCCAAACTCTCCAGCGGCAGCCATTATTGTTGTCACCCAAGCGCACATTGGTCACGTGGTTGATTACGTTACTGTTGATCATCTGTCCATCATCGTATAAAGCCCGCCCTGACAATTTGATTGGATCGCCTGACAGTGGGCGATAATACTCACGCTACTATGGAGCAGAGCCAGACCGAACTTCCCCGAACTCAAACTTTGTGGGCGGGACTAAGTTCGGAATGGCTACAAAATTACCGCTAGGTGGACAAAAATCACGCCATCTGGTGGAAAATCACCCGGCTTTTTCAAATCACGCCAGAATGCGTACAAAACAACAAAAATGGCGCCGGCAACGCTTCTGGGTCGTTTTCATGTAATGTCGGTGATTTTAAAGTAATTTTGAGTGATAACTAATTTTTTTGCGATCATTGCACTTGCAATGAAATTTGTACTCTCATAACAATAAAAACTACTTGCCCCGGGAGATCGGGCGATGGTTAACATCGAGCCCTGGTTGCACATTCCTGTACTAACCCTGGTTTAGAAAATACTGAACCGACCGTAACATTTCGTGAAGTTTCTAGTGAAATGAACATGGTTTCATTCCAGTGTTGTAATGTGTAAAAGCAGCAGCCTGATTCTCCAAAACTACACACTGTACGCCTCTGCACAACACTGCCCGCTGTGTGCTGGAGCTCACAAATGCTGATGGCCCATCCGCTGAGTTCTACTTCTTTGAGGTCTAAACTCCAGTTGAAAATAAAAGGCCAGAGGCTTCATACGCCACAGAATGTGTCGGCATTTTTCACTCCAGCGCTGGGAGTCCTGCCTCGCAGCAAACTGTAATTGAGTAAGAGCTCAGTGGGAACTGCAACCCAGGCACACAGCAGCTCAGAGCCAGTTTGTGTGTGTGCACTAAAGCTTTAGCTGATGTGTAGCATCTAGTAAGGAATATGTGCACTTTGCTCAGCAGTGCGGTCTGCGTCGGCTCCCGCCAGCCTCTTGTGTACATGAATCATGTGAGATTATCCACAGTGTGTTGCCTGGGTGTCTCCATCTGTTTGATTAAATTTAACTTTGCTGTTTACTCTGCGCCCTTGGTTTGTCCCGCTGAATCTTTTTTTTTTTTAGAAAGGAGAGCAGAGATTAAGCTGAATAAGAAACCCGGGGTCATCTGAAAGCTTCCCCGTCCAGCTGTTTGCTCTCTGGTGTCCATATGGTTCCACATACCCGTACAAAAACACACTTACACGCTTAGCTACTGTCCAGCTGGGGCTTTAGTCCAAACAATACCAGCAGTTGTTATTTTTTTTTCCCTCCTCTCTACTCTGTCGGAATAGAAATGAGCAGGAGGCCGGATCAGAGGGAGATTCTGTTTTATTAATCCGCTCTGAATCCTTTAAAGGCAGCAGAGGTTGTAAAGTGACTCAGAACATTTCTTCACCCTAAAGTTGTGCACAGAATAAAAACCTCTGTCTGGCCTTGTGTAAATAAACCACATGAAGGCGCTCGGAGGAGCCGTGTTTTCATTCCATACCAATAACCTGCCTGACTGCTCCGCTGGAAATTGCCTCATTCGTCGAGCACACGGTTTGTTTTCCCAAAGAGGGGATTTTCAGGAAATCTCCCACTGCGGATTCCTGGATAAAAAAAAAAAGAAAACTTTTGGATGGATCCCTGTAGAGCAAATGAAAAGGTCTGATGTTTGATGTGAGATTATAAGCATAAGAGGTTAGGATTATTTTCTTAATTTCTGGATTAACTTTTAGTCGACAAATTGACTTTTTTTGTTCTTTGAAGTCAAATAAATGTGATTTTCAACACTTTCGCCTATTAAAACCACATCGTAAATGTGGGAAAGTGTGAAAAGTTCTTGGAAAAGGAAGCAGTGTCTCATGTTTTTCCGGTTTCCTCCCAGTTTCTCACCTGAGATCGATCCAGAAGCTTCGCTCCGTTTCCCAGATGTCAGCAGCGTAACGAAAACAAACCCTGCTCTTCTTGTCACCTCATTTTTTTCACATCTATTGGCGGCGTCACCAGCCAGAATGAAGTTATATTAAAATGCATAATGTGTCTGTTTTAGCGGTGGACAGACTGTGCTGATGTTTGCCTCACCAGAGAATGAGGCTCTGTTCTCAGCAGCACCTGGGTCACAGAACCCCGACAGAACGGGGTTGGCTCCTACATAGAGCAGGGGTCATATTCTCAGTCTTTCAGCTTCAAAAAAGCCAAACATTAAACCCAAAGGCAGCTGTTTTAACTTTCTGTTTTGTCCCTGTTATGTTGATGAGTCAGATAAGCTGTTATCATGAACTTCTTAGAGATGAATTCATCTTTTCTGTCCATTTCCAAACCTGTGAGGATCCAGGACAGCCGAGCCTCTCTGCACGCTGCGCTGTCATCTTCACTCCACTCACGTCTGATGTCTGTGTCTTCCAGGACCAGCGCCTGAAGGAGATCAGCATGCAGACTCCCCCCTCTGCCTCCCCCAGCAGCCAGTCGGTCGGCAGCGCCAACAACAACAACCACATCTCACAGACCCCGGAGTTGTTTGGCTCCGCGCTGAATGCAAACAGGTGCACAAGCTAAGGCAGACGCCATCATGAGTTTGCTCATGCTATTAAAATTCCTTCATTTTTCTGATAAACCGACACTTTTTGAAAGGAATCTGCAGCCGATCAGTTTATTCTGTTTTATCCTAGTTCGGGTTGTTTTGGTAAAAATCTCAAAAATCTTATCTGCAGCCCTGATCTGATCTGTTGAAGCACATAATGCACATAGAATCTACTGCATTTAAAAAATGCTAATTAAAATGAATCCCTTAAACCATCTGCTATAAATCTACATGTGCATTTCAATGACTTAAAATATGCTCAGAAAGTTTGTCCATTTCATTAAATAGATTAAAACTGAAACTATTAAAAATTATTATGTTCATTACACTTAGGAGCTCAAAGGCTTTTCATTTCTGGATTATAGCAAGTAAAAAAAACACAAATTTAAAATCTCAAACCAGGTAAAACCAACTAAAACCTATATTTTTTATAGCCTAATTATGTGGAACATGTCACTCTCTGAATAATTACTTGATCAAGCCTTTATAGTAATAATACTGTACAGTATTTTGTGTTGTTAAATGGTCATTGGGCATCCTGCATCCATTGTGTTTGGACTTAGACTCAGCTTTATTTATCCCTTGGGATTACTTCTTCAGAGAAATTCTGGTTCCAGTAACTTATATAGAGTACAAAGAGTTAAAAAAAAAGATGCCATTAAAGATAAACATACAACAGACAATAAAAAAGAGTATATATATAGTACAAAAAGTGTTAAAAAAATTGTAATGTCCTGGAATATGTTTCCTTTAGATATAAAAAAAATATCTGCACAGTAGAGAGCTAAGGGAAGACTGCACAGTAGTTGACTTGGATTATTGCACTTGCACTGCAGAGATGTATTGAACTTATAGATAAGTAAAGTACACAGTAGTTGGCATTTGTTATTACACAGTGAGAGAGAAGGATATTGCACATATTGGTATGCAGCTGATATGTTAGGTGTAGAGGTAAGCTTGGTTACTGCAAACCTTTGGACTGATGAAACACAGTGGAGCATCAGCAGCAGATGATCTGCCTCCCAAATATTCACTGACTCTAGAAACTTGGATTCCTTCTCTCACAACCGTTCCTCTGGGATCAGGAAACTTCTTTTCTGTTTGAAATAAAACATTTACTTTATGTCCCTATATAACTCTTGAATTTCAGATTAGATACAGATATAAAGACCTGATATGATAACACAATGAATCCTAATTACCTTTATTATTTAGCAGTGTGGAACATTGGTCACATACTCAAAGAACAATATATAAATATTAGAATATATCAACCTGAAAACAGAAGCAGAGCGTTTCTATCAGTGTGCTTATATGGAAATTCTAGATCCAGGCTGATATATTAAACTATTTGTTTTGGCTGTTGTTGGAACGATTTCCAAACTACATATGTGATCAGGAAATCCCTAATTTACTCTCATTTGTTACGTTTACATCCACAAATTTCTCCATCTAATCTAAACCTTTGTTGATCAGAAATTGTAAATGTGTTTAAGCCGGGCTTACACTTTTTTTTGCCCTATTCGGACCGACTTTCCAGTCGTGCAGGAATTTTCCGATCGGGCTGATTTTCAGACCTCCCAATCAGGAATCGTGAGGTCGGGAGAAAATCAAACATGTTTGATTTTCAGTCGACCGTCATTAGCAAATCGCTTAGTGGGCAAACAAGGATTCTTCTTCTTCTTTCTCTTAGATGTAAACACAGAAGCATGGTTCTGATGTGTGTGTGTTTATACATGCACCAAACTGTCTTAATTTTCCATTAAGTTGTCCCGCTGATGTTGCAGACATAAGCAGTAGAGACTATTTTACACCAAAGGTCAGAATGGGGGTGTAATCGGACAGGAAGACATCAATAACACCCCCTCTCTCGTTTGGAAGGAAACTTCTTTCCCATCGGACCAAATCTGATTAAAATATTCAGTCTAACATTTTAACATGAAACATTGTTGATCTAATCAGGCCTTCAATCCAAATATTTGTGTCCATGTAAACGTAGCTAATGTTGTAGCTTAGGTTAGATGCTCCTAGCTTCACACATTTGATCCCATAAACGCTGCTGTTACCTTTGATTTCTTCCTTTCAATTAACGTTCCATCAGTAGGCCTGATAACGACACCCTAAACAGCCAGTTTCCCTGATGTTGACCTTTTTTCTTTTTTTTTTTAAACAATGTCTTTTTTTTAATTTCCAATAAGAGTACTTAAAAAAACACGTGTTGCACCATTTGCACAATGAAGAGCAGGCAAACCTCGCTACATACACACATACAAAACGAAATAAAAAAATTTAATAAAAAAAAAAAATAATTATAATTAAAAAGAGTACGTACATAAAACAGTAACAATTATTACAATTACAAATATTAATATAGAAATTAATGAATAAAACTTTTACACTCAATAGCCTTACAAAGAAATACAATCTACTGTTGCTTAAAGTTGTAGGGAAATCAAATTAAATGTCAAATAATTCTGGCTTAAACATGTATAGAAATGTACTCTTTATCAGACCATATTGTGCCAAAAGTTAGAACATTTCTATTTAAAAAAATAAATAAAAAAATCCTGTCTTAAAATCTGTTTTTTTTTTTGTTTTTTTTTTTTTTTAGTCATCTTATGCAGACCAGTTAGTTATACATTTGCTTGAACACCTAATTTCAGCTGGTCATTTGTCAGTCAAATTATTTCGGTCATAGCATCTTGAATCATATTTCGCAGCTAATAAACGCAACGGTTGAAATAAAAAATAAGAATAATTTATTTACCTAAATTTTTTATAAAAAATGTATGACAGAGGAGACACATCCACGACCTGCGACACAATACTCTCCTCCCCTTGCATGTTTCCTCTGTCCATAGCGTTCCTGGACAGTGTCGTTTCTAAGTCGCCAATTTAGTGTTAATTTGTCCCAATGGAATTTCCCATTGGGAACCTAATAGCACTAAGCTGCTAACTGGTTATCAAGATGCTTCCGACAAACCGGCCACAACCAAACATGCTTGCGAATCTTCCACCACAGCAATCCTGCCCCCTTGATAAAAATCAATCACATTCACTTTATTCACTCGTGTAAAGTCGTGAACCACTCGGGAGAATTCGGAAATGCAGCAGTTGGAACGGCCGCTTCCCTACGACTTTAAGAAAGTCCATTAAGGGTGTCTATATTTCTTCAAATTCTTGTGCTTTACCTCTAACTATATAGGTTAACTTTTCTAATGTGACACACGTTGACATTTCTCTCATCCAAGATTTTATAGAGGGTATTTCAGTCTCCCTGATAATGACCTTTAATGGTTTCATTGAAATTAACAAGAGTGATTGAAATATTTCATACTGTGTGCAGTTAGTCTATAAACTAGGAGCTTCTTTGAGTTTAACAATGAGATCGTTCTTAATCGCCTGGTTGTTTATAAAAGCTTAAGAGAGAAGCCTCCCACTGTGGCAGAAATCTGCCAGGGACTCGAACGTCTGCTGCTGCTACGTCAGTTTGCATTCGGAAGCTCAGAAATCTCTCGGATTCCTTCCCAGGAAACAGAATAAGTATTTGGATTTAATAATCGAGAGAAGAATTTACACACTGTGAATTTACTGCCGCTAACTGTTTTATGGCTCAGGGGGGAGATTTTACAGCCCTGCAGAGAGAGGGGATTAATCTTGATCTGTGACAAACCAAGGTTTTTAGTGGCGACTTTAGCTATTTATGCTCAGTTGATTAAATATTAATACTCTCTCTCTGTCTCCTTTCATTTCTCTATACCTTTTCCTCTCCTGATGTCTTGATTTATTCCCCCACTTTCTCCTTACCTCCTCTTTGTCACTCAATATTTTTCTTTTCTTTTTTTTTTTTAACTCTTCCCTGCTGGGTTTGTGTTGCTCCTCAGCGTCCCCAACCTGAATAGTGACCTGTTTGATCTGCAGCCGGCCTTCATCCCCGCTGTGCAGAGCACTCCTTCCATCTCCAACGCCAACAGTGCCTGGGGAGGTAAGCTTTGAACGCACACATGAAGGCACCAGCAAGGGCATAGGACATGGCTGTCTCTAAAAGATTCACAAGAATATAAGTCAATTCAATGCTAAAATATTCACTTATCCTCCTTTTTTTTCTTTAGATCAGTAAAATAGATCTGGGAATAGTATTTTATATGCAGTAGTGTTTACATTTTACAAAATACAATCTTTATTTTGAGTATTTTCGTTGAACGGCTGACGTGACTATGTTTTATTAATATTCTGCTTTCTGCTCTTAATTCTGATTTATATCAAAATGGTTTTTCAGCACATTTATGATGCTTTACTTTTTAATAACAAGGTTCTGATTGCCTTTGGAAGACAAACAGCCCTCAGCATCACTAATCCTCCACTGTGTTTCACCAGTGGGTGAGATAATTCTTGTTCACATTTGAACCTTTATGTACAGAACTATATATTTAGATCAGTCTAGCCTATGGGTGAATGCAATTCCACGTTGATGCTGGATCTTGCCAGCTCTGTGATTTAAATGTCTTCCTCTTGGGTCTCACTCTCCAAATGTCCAAGTGAACCGAACACAGGAGACGTCGCCCTCCATTCTCATTTTACATGTTTGTCAGGGTGGAAAATGTGGCTGTGGTAGAAAGTGAGCCCCAGCGTAGGTGTTCATATATTAGCTTTGCCCTGTGTGTTCCTGGGGGGGAAGAAAGAGAGAAGGAAGCAGGCTGACATTTCAGCTCGCTATCAGCTGTCTTAAATCAAAGTGTAGCACAATGATGCATCTAGAAGCTCTGGTAGTGTGGGGGTATTAAAGGCTTTATGTTACAGGATTATGCTGAAGCTATTTTGAAGGCGCTTGGCTGGATTTCAAAGTAGGAGCTGCTTGTAAGAGACTGTGGATGTCATCGTCTGTGGTTCCGACTCCATTGCTCCCCATTATTTTCTGTACAACAAGGCAGCAATCTGCACAAAGTGATTAGATGTTTGTTCCGGAGATCAGTTGAGGTGAATGAAAAGGGGTCGCAGTGGGTTTTATTTTGTTGAAGGACTGCTTGATAACAAAGCTCTGCCTGTTAAAGTGGGCAGCATCTTGAAGAAATCAGCCATTAGCTGTTAGGTTAGCAGGGATTTACTCATTCGTTATTTATTTTTGACATTTTGGGATGTAAAATTAAATTCAAGAATCTAAACTCATTTTGTATTTTATTTACCTTCTGGTATTCATAAAGTATTTTTGATTTGAATTGAATTTAGACATATGGACTCAACTGTTTGTACCCATTAATTAATGAAAGAAGCAAATCCACAATGGTCAAAGGTAATAAGAAATAAAAACTCTATGTAAATGAAATGAAAACAAAAACAAACAAAAAAACCACTGGACTTTGTTTTCGAAGTTTGAAGACATTTCACTTCCTATCCAGAAACTTTTTTCAATTCAAAACTTTTTTTTTACTTTTTTGAAATGACTATGACCCGAATGACTTAGAATCTTCTCCAGCAAAAAGGTCAGAAATAGTTTTTGCAATCATGCTTCAACAGAATTATTTCAACTAATAAACTAATTAGAAAAGTTTGGACGAAAATGATTATAGCCTTAAAAAATATTAAATAATGTGTCCAAAGGGACGCGTTAATTCAATGTGCATCCACTAATCAGCATCACATTATCTCTACTATCTTTACATGAGTAAATGAGCCTGTCCATATATTAGGCTACAGGTAGTCACTGGGCTGTTTGGTAACATGGTGTGTACCGCACTCTACCTGGACAGAGGAAAGGAAATTAGATAGGAAATTATAGACTAGCATATTAAATGATAAATTTTCTATAAGCATCTCGGAACAGCTTGATGTTTCTTTGACTTCAGTTACACATTAAGAAATTTTAGCTTAATGAGACTGCAGCTAACCTCCCTGGATGTGGCTGCAGGAGGACAATTGATGACAAATTAAAGAGAAAATTATATGAATGGTAACCAGAGAGAACAGAGAGAGCAGAAATTATTCTAAAGGGATTATAGCTGAACTTCAATCTCCAGGAACATCAGTGTCAGATCGCACCATCTGTTGTTGTTTGATCCAAAGTGGATTTAATAGTAGATGAACAGAAGCGACACCAAATAAAAAATGAATAAAAAAAAAAACAATGGAATTTGCTTAACTTTATGTTGACAGATCGCAGAGCTTCTGGGAGAGTATCCTATGGACAGATTAGGAAAAAATATATAACTTTCTCCAACTTTCTGAAGCAGCCCTATATGAACCCTGACCTAAATCCTCTTGAGCTACCTAAATGAAAAAAAAAAGATGGATCAGACTAAATACTGGGCAATCCTTGAGGAAAACCTGATAGAGGCAGAAAAAAGACTTGAGACTATTGACCAGAGGTAATTCAGATCTGAGGTAGTTTCTTTCCTTAGAGATAATTCAACCAGATCATACAGTCAGACTGGTTCAAAGTTTCCTGTCAAAGGAAAACCAGTTGATTATATTTACTCATTGACTCGAAGGCAATCTCTCACACTAAGCATGTTTGTAGCAACAGTGGAGAGGAAAAACTCCCTTTTAACAGGAAGAAACCTCCAGCAGAACCAGGCTCAGTACGAGTGGCCATCTGCCGAGGCCGACTGGGGTTCAAGGAGACAGAAGCAGAGATAGAAAAAGAAGCAGAGATACAAAGGGTTCCCTATGTCCTCCAGCAGTCTAAGCCTATAGCAGTGTAACTCTAAGCTTTATCAAAATGGAAAGTTTAAGCCATGCCTTAAGAGTAGACAGGGTGTCTGCCTCTCAGACTAAAACTTGCAGTTGGTTCCACAGGAGAGGAGACTGATAACTGAAAGATCTGCCTCCCATTCTATTTTTAGAATATCTAGGAGCGAAGTGCTCTGTTAGGAACATAAGGAACAATCATATCTCTGATATAAGATGGTGCTTGGCCATTTAAGGCTTTATATGTGAGAAGGATGATTTTAAATTCTATTTTGGAATTTAAAATCCTCCTTCTCACATATCTTTAGAAGGATCAGAACCATCCTGTCTGGAGAAGGAGCAGCTTTAGAGGCATTTTGCTCATGAGGAGTTGAATAAAATACCTGCTGAGAGGAGCAGCGGTCTAATTGACGGTTACAGGAATCATTTCATTTCACTGATTGCTTTAAAAGGTTGAAATATTAAGTTTAGGGTTCCACGATTTTTGTCTAGGACTGTTTCATGACTTTTTTTATTATTATTTTTCTTATGTTTCTCATTTTTTAATTTTTTTATTTATTGTTTCTGTCATATTAAAATCATTTCCGTGACCATTGTGGGTTTTTTTTCTCTCATTTAACGGATGGAACCAATATTTTTGTCTACATGTTAATAATATAAAATTACCGTAACCAAACACAGAACAGGAAAAGCTCCTGAATGTTGTGGCAGTTTTAGTTTGATCCTTTCCTCTAGTCATTAAACTAGTGTTGGTGTTTTCTCATCCATCCATAGTGACAGCGTCAGTGACGTAGTGCAAAGGTAGATCCGTGGATTTTCTCCTGCACGGATTTAACTGTTCGCTAAAAGCCTTTTTTATCAGCAGCCTGCACAGAATCCCAATGTTCAAATGAACAACAATAGAAGACAGTCCAGAGGCCTAAATCTAATGGGATTAGTCTACATCAAAGCTGGAACTTTGTTTTTCCACACACAGTCAGTCTGTACACACATCCTTCAGTGCCCTCTGTAAAAATGTTGATGGAGAAGCTGCTCCATCTGCTCTTACATGTAGCTCTAGCAGCACAGTCAGCCTTACTCAGTCATTTTTAACTGCATTCCTCAGGAGCGGAGAGCCAGCCACTGCAGCAGCCCACCCCAGCCATGACTGTAGATTTCGATGCTGTGTTTGGGAATAAGTCCACACCCAGTAACAACGGTCCGCAGCCTGCAGCCGGTAAAAAAGGCCTCTCCCTGTCTGCCTGTCCAGACGGGGGAAATACTAAAAACCTTTCGGCTTTGATGGCGACATGCAGAGCTTTTAACTAACCCTCTGATCAGTGTCGGCGACCTGCGACTGCTCCTCTCTAAGGGTCGCATTTTCTCTGGCTTTCTAACTCCGCTTCATGGTGTGTTTTTTTGTTTTCTCCTCTATTTATTTTTCTAATAACGAAAACAAGTGCAGCTCTACAGCAGATGCATTTAAAATTTAAGCTCTTGGTTCTGAACTTTATCAGCTGAATTACTAATTTTCCAATTCACTTAATTCCAAATGTATGAGATGGTCTGGAGTAAGATGGTCGACTAAAGCAAAATTAATAATTGAGAGCAGATCTGCGGAGTGGAGGAGATGTTTAGGAGCACACTTCTTAGCTTTATCTCATGTGTTGGTAACCTGTCTGCTGTGATGACAGCTTTAAACAGATGCTGCATGTTGGCCTCTCTGCCTTCTTATTGGCTTCTTTCATTTGAACATCTGAGAATCTTCACACTACTAAACCTGTTTGGTCCTAAGATCCTCCTCCAATGCTGAAAGGATCCACGGTGTTCAGCTTTAAAAAAAAAAAAAAACTCCTGATTTATTTTCTTTTAACAAAGCTTCAGATGAGATCTTTGCTTGTACAGAATCAGCCTCCATGTAATGTTTTCCTTGTGCTTTCGCTGTTCATCAACTTTATCTCTCATCCTGTCGCATCACAGCCGCAGTCTTCAACACATTTTGTTTGGATGCCGTGTGACGGATCGACACAAAGTAGTGCTGTTTAGTGGAAGGAACAGGACGTAATGTTTTTTTAATATTTATGAACAGTAACCATCCCAGAAGTGTAACGTGTTTGTTTCTTAAACCCTTAACTTTGATGCCCAGCAGTAAAATACAGGAAGACATGATAGATATTAGCAAATTAGTACCGGTGCATGTTTGTGTGACTAAATCCAGCTTCAAAGGTTTGTTTGAGAACATTATTGAAAAGGCAAAATCCTGAAAACCAAACCATGCAGCAGGAGATCAGGCAAAAAGATACAGTGAAGTTTAAGCCGGGCATACACTGTGCGATGTTTTTCAATCGTTGCATGCAGCTGCAGCTCACACTGTGCAACGTAACTGCAGGTTCACAGAAAGCTCTGATGCAACCTACCTGATCACACTGTACGTGTAAAAACCAGGTCGGACTCAGCTCCGCAGTGAGATGGAGCTGCTCGGACTCGTCTATCCGGAAGCCAAAAGAGAAGAAGAGGAATAAATCAAGACATATTTGGACAAAAACATCGCTGAGCAAACGTGTTTACTACGGTCTGTCAATTTTACAGAAAGAACTCCATTTCACTCGCCTCCCCGCCATGCTTGTGTGTTTTCGTCTGAGAGGAAGAAGAAGAATCCTTGTTTGCCCACTGAGCGATTTGCCCACGGCGGTCGTTCTCCCGACCTCATGATTCCTGATGGGGAGATGATCGCCAGAGGCTGGTCGCCCCTCGTTACCCCCTGTATACTACAAGATGCACAATCAGGCTGAAAGTCAGCCCGATTGAAAAACTCTCGCACGACTGGAAAGTCGCCCCGAAAAGGGCAAAAACTCGCACAGTGTAAGCCCGGCTTTAAAGCTGGATTTAGTTTATATTTTAAAAGAAACCAACATCTAAATCTAAAAATGTGTCACAGCTCAAACAGTTAGTTTATAATGAAACTGCAGGGCCTAAAAGATATGCCTCCAGCTGGTAGGATGATGAGAAGAAACATAGAATCCTGTGGTAACTGGAGGAGCAGCAGACGCCTACAGCTCAGGTGGTAGAATCTGCATAAAACCTCATCTAGATTGATATATATATTATTTTATTCTGGAAGGGCAGTAAGAACAGAAATCCTGTTTCGAAGTTTATCACATGGAGAATATCACTATAACATGTTTTTCTGGACAATAAATTGTCCAAGAAATTATTGTAATAAACGACATTATGGTTTTAAGACCTAATCTGTCAGCATAATGGCATAATAATGCACCTCTAATCTCTCAGAGAGCAATAAATGTTTGAAACATTTATTTCTTTAATGGCTGCTTTTCAACAGTGTAAAACTGCAGCATGTCTGTAGAGATCAGGCCAAGTACACAGTCTGTGAGCGCGCACCATTTCACATCCTGATAATTAAACGCTCCATGGAGCGATCACTGTGGGGAAGACTGGCAGCGGGTTGTAGCTTTGTTTTTTTTGTTTTGTTTTTTTTACTAGCTGGAAAAATCGCATCAAACATTACTTTTTGACTTCAGATGCGTGTTTAACTGTTTACTGACAAGTGCAGCATACCGCCTCCCGCAGGTTAAGTGGTTCATCAGTCTTTAGCTTTGGATCCAAAGTTTTCTCACACTGCAGCTGTTGCCTTCGCCTCTGTGGTTCCAAATCTACTCTCCTGTTAGCTTATACTACTCAGTCATGATATTCCCCTGCTACATGATGAGGCGGTGTTTTTTGGAAGAGTCTGACGCAAGAGTTCACTCCTCAACACAATAAGGAAATCAGAAAAGGGGGAAGGCAGTGGGGGTGAGTGGACACCGATGAAGCCTTTTCTTCTAGTCGAAAGAGAGAGGGAAACACGAGGAAAATACACAAGCATAAATGATTGAGCTCATTTTAATATCATGCAGTAGGGCTGCATCTTGGTCAGATTACATTTAAACAGGCTGAGACTCTTGCTTTCTCCCTCCAGCCCTTTGGGTGCCAATAATGCGCTTAAAGTGGGTTTGCGGTCACACAGACGGGGAAAGGGAGTTAAAGCTAGCGCAGAGATCCATGCATGTGGTTTGAAGTCCTGCAACAGTGGACTCTGCAGAAGCAAAGCTTTGAATTTCACAAAAACAACGAAAACCCCCAGAGTGAAACTTCTAAACCTTGGTTAGTGCAAAGGAAATGAAAATAAAACTGCACTGTTAGTTGAAAGAGGTAACAATTTAGATTTTTAGCTAAATCTATCAGCCACCTGATGCAGCTGGTTTTCATCCTGCAATCGGTTGATTTATTGATGATGATGATGACAGGCCTAGACACAAGCAGCAGCTCAGGTCAGATGAGAACTAACCTGACCTTTTTAAATCACATGAAACACCCAGTGTGCATTAATCTGAACCAACCATTTCCATATTGATCCACGGAGGTGGCAGGGTTATGCTGTGGGGATTTATTACCTTCTGCAGATCAGACATGATCGGAATTTAAGTCGGGATTTAGACCAGAAGGGAATTGGGAGTAGAGCCAGAGCTACAGAGGAATGGTTCAGATCAGACGGGGCCAAACGGTTCGGCACGACGAGCCAGAATCAAATCCAGCAGCATTGGAAGGAGCAACACAACAACCCTCCACGTATTCTAATAGCAGCAAAGCAGATTTTCTGATAACTAATTACCTAAAAATAAAAACAGCTGAACACACAAACTGGCCTTCATGGTTTGGAGCTTTTTTTTTAACCAACAAACAAGAAACCTCCTGGTTAAATAATGTTCTCCATAATGGATTGGTTGAGGTAACCGCAGTAAAGATGGCTGATCTGCAGACATCTGTAGAGCGTGTAAGTTTGAACATTTTCAAAGTAAAATATCCCATAAACTGCCGTTTAGATCAGCCCCTCTGAGGCGCACAGAACAGAGAGAACAGCAGCCCGGGTCTGGGGAGACGCGCACTCGCCCCTCCTACTTTAGATCAGAGCGTTTTCAATGACCCAGTTAAGCCTCTAGGTTCAGCTGAGACTAGAAAAATACCTAAACTGCCTGTATTCTACTAACATCACCACTATTGAGCCATTTGGAAAAGAAGTAAACATTTGATTCTGTATCTGTGAAAAGCTAGTGGAGACATACCCCTATAACTCTTTACTCTGCTCTGTGTCGGTCCACAGTAGAATACATAGGACTCTGTGGTTCTAGTTGGACGAAATGGTGTAAGGAGTGGGGAAACGTAGGGTAGCTGGTATGATACGGTGGAGTTAAAGTATCATAAAGTTATAAATTTTAGAAAAGAATTCTGCTTTTGTTCAGTTCAAAGCTTTGATTTCTTCTTTATCCTGTGGCTCTGACCTTGTGTAATCCCCATCATTGTTTTCTGCTCTGCCCAGACCGAGCAGTCTCCCGTCTCTAAACTGGTTCTGGGTTTAGAGGGACTCCATTTCTATTAATAAAGACACCATCTGGGCAAACTGGCAGCTTCTCTAAAAAAAAAAATCATTCTGCATCCAGCTACTGTACCGCCATGTTAGTCGCACACAGCAAATAAATCTGTAAAGGTGTGGATTCACCCATCCTTTCCTTCTATCCGCTCCTCCTCTGTTGTTTTGTTGTTGTTCACACCATTCCCACCTTCCTCCTGCTGCTGCCTCCTCTTGTTTCATTTCTCGCCGTCTTTGCTTCACCGTCTCCTCATCACACATCACAAGGCAAGAAATCACCCAGGCAACTCCGATCCATCTGCTCCCCCTCCCCCCCTCCAACTCCTCACGTTTGAAATCAAGAAATCCTTTTCTCTCCCCGTTCTCCTTCACACCTTTTGTTCCTACAGTTTAGGGGAAATCCTCAGAATGTTTAGTCTTTCATATTTCCCTGGTTTGCTGCTGTAAATTATGCAGGGATCATTTTGGTTTGGTCATTAAATCTGCAGGTTTCTGTCTAAACTTGCAGATTTCATTTGTTTTTCTGGATAAAAAATGTTCTGCCTTCTTTGTTTCCCCATCTCATCCAAATAATTGTTCCTTCTGAGTTTATAAATGTATCATCGGCGTCTGCTTCAAGCAAACTCTCATTAATGTGGAACTAAAACCCAGCAAAGCTGAAAGAAGTCATCAGAGAAGTCATCTTGCAGCTTGTTGCAAAGACTGCTTTTACACTCGGCTCCCCTTTGGTTGCAGTCAGCAGGGTGATCTAGCTGGAGGAGAGCTAATAATGTTTGTCACACAGGATAAGTCTGAATTAAATTTCCTCA